GACCCCCTGGGCACCAGCCTCAGAGGTCGGGGGCTCAGTGGACGCCGCTGCAGTTCCCATCAGCCCCTCTGTTCCCTCGTCCACAGCAGGTGGAGGAACCGTTCTCCTTCAGATGCAGAGCCGCGCTGCTCTCTCTCTCTCTCTGTGTGTGTGTGTGTGTGTGTGTGTGTGTGTGTGTGTGTGTGTAATGTAAGACATGTCTGTTAAAACCCTGCAATTCTATTTCAGGCCATCCCACACAGTGGGAGAGGAGCAGAAATGTGTCACCCGTTAATTACCGCTTTTCAGATCCTTGTGAAATTGTGTGCTTTTGTAGGTAAGAGGGTCTCTCTCTCTCTCTCTCTCTCTCTCTCCCCCTCCCCCCTCTCCCCCTCCCTCTAATGGAACATCAGGGATGTGAGCCTCGGTGTTTGTTTGTTTGTCTGTCGTGAATGTTGAAAGGCTTTGACGTACGCGTGATGTCGTCTGACGTACGTCGTACCTCGGAGGTCCACGACCTTATGTTTGATCATGAGCAGATGTTTTTCTACCTGACACGGTCCAGACCAGTGGTCACTGTTCCTCGTGGACGGCACTAATACGATGACCAGCCCTTAGGGTCAGGGTTAGCGTTAGCGTTAGCGTTAGCTTCTCTCACTCTCTTACAGCTAAAACTATGCTGTTCAAACGCTGGTGCACGGTTGTTTGGGCTGAAGAGATCAGCGCTAAAATCTTATTGGCTGCTGTGACCACCTGACAGTGACATCATCCATCTGTCAGAGTAGAGTTGATTTCTGCTGCGTCAGCACAGAGAAGACAGCAGAGCCGTTGTCACGGTGACGGGACGGACAGTTTCAACAGTTCAAATACAGAAACACACCACTGTGAGGTCACCAAGGTCACCAAGGTCACCGGGGTCAAACTGACCCTATCAGTGAACAGCACGTTCTTTCAGTCGAACTGTAACGTTCTGTTTTTTTAACAAAATGAGCTCCAAATGAAATACAACGCCCCCTACGTCTTGGACAGGGTCTGGTACCGATGCTGGTACTGTTACTCTCCTCCACTCATGTCCATCCTTTGTTCCAGTGACATCATCATGGTTCAACCTCTGGACCAATCACACGTGTGAAAAAGCAACACACGCTGGTTTCATGTTCAGGAAGGTCTGATCAACATCCGACCCTGTGATCGATCAACGTGTTGACAACTATAGATCTATATTAGATAGAACCTCTCTGTCTCTGAGAAACACGGAGGAAGGCCACGCTGACTTCACTCCATCATTTCATGGAGGAGCAGGAGGAGCAGGAGGAGCAGGAGGAGCAGGAGGAGCAGGAGGAGCTCCTCACATGTCAGCTCTACAGAAATAAGAGCTTTTCTCTCTCCCTCTCTCTCTCCCTCTCTCTCTCCCTCTCTCTCTCTGTCTCTCATGCACACCCACACAGAGCCTGTCAGATGCACATGAGGGAGGGAGGAAAGAGGGAGGTGGGCGAAACATGACACGTGAAAAAGAAAAGGCGTTGCTACTAACAATGCATCCACAGCCCCCTGGTTCGGCTCAGACTGGGATTATTTGAACATTTGAATTCTGTTGTAAATGTTGTCACCGTATCTGCCCAGGATCTGCTCTGCCCCCTGGTGGCAGAAAATACAGCATGGGAATCTGTTTATTTTGTATTTTATTTTGGTAAATTGTCGGCTGTGTGTGGTAAGGGGGAGGGGGTGTCGAGGGGGTGTCGAGGGGGTGTCG